CGGTAAAGCTAACAAAGTGCTATTACGAAATTATATAATAGAAAGAATTGGCCGAAATTTAAGTCCTATTTGTCTAATAAACTGTTAGGACGATTTTATACCATTACCTTTATTTTAACGTATGTGGTGAAAATATTCCCCCTCAGGGTCTACAGTTTCCAAGGGAAATTAAAAATGAATAAAATACCTTCTTGTTTTAATGCCAATTATAATAATAAAGAGTACATGGAAGTTTCAAATTTTCATTAAATTCACTGGTGCATTAGTACAAAACATAAATAATAAAATTTCACTTTATAAGGCTCAACTTGAAAGACGTTTTATTAAAAGAGCCAAACATAACCCGAGTTCCCATAACATAACATAATCTAAGAACAACAAGAGATGCTTTAGTCCTTCACGACTGTTTCTGCACACATAACCTTTAGTAAAAGAAAAAAACAAACTTAATCCAAATCCTTATTTTTCAGGAAATTATCGATTCTACTCCCCTCTTGTAACTGTTGGCCCCCCTCTCTTGCTGATGGCAACTCATTTCGTTGGCTAATCAACAGGTTAGAAAAGTTTGAGTGTTAACTGGAGCCTAGTCTGTCTTCTGCAAATATTAAATTAATGTCCTTTCATCCTATTGTCACTGGAATATAACCCCAAAAGCTTTTAACCTATTAACCCCCCCCCGACCTGAAATCCTTATTATAAAATAAAATAAAGAGATTAATATATAACTCAGCATTGTTATTAACTTTACCGATTTAAGTGTTAGTAAAGAATGTGCAATACTCCCCCCTAAAACTAGTAATTGATTACTTTAAGTGGCGCAGTCACATTGCTATAGTCAATTAAGAACTGTAAGTGTTAAGATCAATATGCTATATACTTTTCCCCAGATCTAATGACGGTTTGTTGAGTAATAACATCAGTATGCCTTATTTCTTCCAAAAAAATTGATGATGAACCTTATACGTGGCAATGACCCATAGAACACTAATGAATGACATTGTCTTTATTACTATTGTTTCCTCGTTTGTTTCATCACAAAGCTGCACAATAGGTTATCTGCACTGTGCCCACGATGGGGTTCAAACTCAGAATCAAAGTGTTGTAAGATGTTAGAAATTACCAATGAGCCACAAGGACATTATTATTACAATAGACTTTTGTGGTCCTATTTTTTGTAATGAATAAAACATGTGGATTTTTGTCTTTCACAATAAATCATGCCATTTATACAAATCATCTTATACTCCTATTAATATTCAACATGTATAAAATTCACACTGTGTTTAGAGTTTTAATTTTTACTTGCAGAATCATGTTGAGACACATCCTAAACACATTACTTGCTCAGAAGTGAGCCATCATTTCTGCGTTGTCTGTAATTTATCGTGTTCCTCAAAAGATGCATTTTACTCGCACATGGAACAGAGCCACCCTGCAGATACTTCAGAACAAGTGTTCCATGCATCTAAAGGCACTCCACACTCCTAACCAAGAGGCTGCACACGAAGAGGTAACTGTATAAATATATTAAAACATATTTCTTAAATTCACCAATGATAGAAATAACTTCTTGGGTACGTGTTTTACTGCCTTTCATGTGAATTAAGTCTAATATTGCTATAAAGTTTTAGTTGGCGACTATTCCATTTTGCATTTCTAGCAGAGGCATAGCCAAGGTGGGGCCAAAGGGGCCCGGCCCCCTGGAAAATATAGGCATATTGATCACATATTATTTTTCAGCTTTTATGTATAATAAACTCGTTTTGTATCATTTTATAAAAAAATAAAACTTCTATAAACACTATTACACTTGATTTGATTTATTTTAATGACCATTTTATTAAAAATTTAGATCAATTTCAGCTTTTTAATTTATTGGCCCCCTTAAAATTTTTTAGTCCCCGATTCGAAAACCTGGCTACGCCATTGATTTCTAGTTTATCAATAGGAAATATTAATTATCATAAACTTTGTTTTCTGTAATCCAAAATGTGAGATATTTGGCTTTTGTCTCAGTTTATACTCCAAAAACAAAGAAATTGCTACTCATAGGAGTATCTCTACTATTATTCCTCT